CGCAGAGATCACTGAGCAGAGGACGCAGAGCGCAGAGATCACTGAGCAGAGGACGCAGAGATCACTGAGCAGAGGACGCAGAGCGCAGAGATCACTGAGCAGAGGACGCAGAGCGCAGAGATCACTGAGCAGAGGACGCAGAGATCACTGAGCAGAGGACGTAGAGCGCAGAGATCACTGAGCAGAGGACGCAGAGCGCAGAGATCACTGAGCAGAGGACGCAGATCCCGGCCTGTTAAACATTTTTACTGGCTGATGATAATATTTATTACATTGTAACGAATGTTTCATGGAAGGTGGAAGATCCTCCTCCGATCTCACATCTCATGTATACAACGCCGAGTCCTCCGCTGATTTCTCGATGATGGAAGATTCCGGATCGCGTCGGAGATATTTATAGAGAACGTCGAGGCCAAATATACGGAAAAACATTCCGGACATCTCCGTGATTTATGAACATTTCCCATTTTTATCTAAACACAAAACAAGTACAGAAATCTACCGACCTTCCTCCAAGACCCAACCGCACACACACGGGGGGGGGGAATTCACCAAAGCTGGAGCAGCCGAGCACCGCGACCAATCAGCTTCTCTCTTCAGCTTGGAAAATGAAAGAAAGAAGCTGATTGGTTGCCGTGCACAGCTGCTAATTCCCCCGATATATTTCAGAGAACTCTGGTGTCAGCCCTGCCTACTTCATTTCTGATGCATTATAAAGAACGCAGACCCCTCCTCATCTCCATAACCCCTCCTTATTTTTTCATAACCCCTCCCCTTTCCACATTTCCTCTCCATCCTTATCTCAATAACCCCTCCTTATTTGTAAAACCCCTCACCTCCATAACCCCTCCTCATCTCCATAACACCTCCTCCTCATTTGGATAACTCCTTATCTATATAACCCCTCCTCATCTTTATAACTTTTTCTTGTCTCTAGAACACCTCCCTCTCTCCTCCCCCCACCTCACCTCCATAACCACTTCTCATCTCCATAACCCCTCCCCTTTTTTTGTCTCCTCCCACCCCTCATCTACAGAACCCATCCTCCTCTCCTCCATAACCACTTAGCTCCATAACCCCTCCCCTTTTCTTGTCTCCTCCCACCCCTCATCGACAGAACCCATCCTCCTCTCCTCCATAACCACTTATCTCCATAACCCCTCCCCTTTTCTTGTCTCCTCCCACCCCTCATCTACATATCCCTCCCAGTGTGGGAAAACCAAGAGCTAATCAAAATGTTCATCGATGCAGGGTGACCGATCGGCACGCTTAGTCACATCCCCCATGTGTGCCACACTTCTCGGGGCGACAATGGAGCCCTGGTGCATGTATTGTGCAGAGTGCCGGGGGAGGCGCGGGGGCGGCCATGGTAGGAAAGCCTCAGGAGAACCAATAGCAGGATGGGAGAACCCAGAGGAAGACGTAGGGGGGAAGAGCCGATGAGGACGGATCCCCACCAACCACCCAATACCCAACCACGCCCCCAGAGGAATACTGAGATGACCAATCACTGCCCAGACGGCTTCCCCTGAGGATCCCCAACTCCCAACAATGACAAATGGACATTTCCCCACCCGCTGTCACTCTCCCAGGCCATTGGTGGCCCATCTGGCTGTTGGCCATCCCCCCCTTATCCTCCTTTTATCTAGCCCCGCCCCCTCTTCTTCTAAAGACCGAATTTGTTTACAGTACAATGGAGAGCCGAGGATCTTCTTAAGAGCTCGCAATGACATTCCCACAATGCTCCGCAACGTCCTCATAAGGATGATTGATGGCGGCTGTCATAACTTTTGATGTGGCCCCTTCGGGCCCGTGATTAACCTCCGCTCGTTAATATCCTTTCACCTCCTTTCTTAATTCTTGTTATTTTTACAGCGTGTTGCAGTTATTTGGACGCCGTCCACCCGCCATCGCAATGTAAACACTCCCAGTAAATGTATACACCGCGCGGAC